AAATTAATATCAACAGTGCCCAGTTTTGGGATTTTGCTGCTCTGTTTGCCTGACTGCTAAGAGCTTGAACATTCTTTTGAATCAAGTATGAGCGTCATCTTAGAATTCATTTACAAGATTTAACTATACTCCTTCACCCAGAACATGGCCTTCCAGAGTAACCATAGCTTCCACCCCCATAACGTTTTTGTACCTTTGAGATCCGGTACAACTACAGGGGCAGATAAAAACCTGTAGGAGGTCCAGTCATGCAGAAAAACCTACATAATTTCCTCTTAGAGTCCAAAGTATAAAACAATGTGCATGAATTACTGGGCAGCAGGAAAGAGCCCTGTACGTCTCTGCTTCTGATACATACATATAACCCCAACATTTTCCTGGGTTAACTCAGAGTCACCCACAACCTGAAAATCCTAGAATTCTAACCTTTAATAATTAATCAAAATGTCTAGGAAAAAAAAAAAACAACCTTGTATGAGGGTTTAGATCAGGGTTCTGGATTTGATTTTGAGGCCAGATGGTAGTATAGAGATAAAACATACTCTCTGTGAGGCAATTTCATATGAGAAGGTGCCTGGTTCAAGTCTGGAAAACTTCCTAAGTATGCTGAGCCAGATGTGCCTATGATCTGGGGCTGACTGAGCCTGGGTGTGGATCACAGCATTGAGATCCTGTTGGAGGTGATATCTTTCTGTGTAGGTCTCTGTCACTCTCACTCATAGAAGAGATTTAAAAATCACATTTTAAAACAAAATGCCAATTTCTTAATTATTTAAGATGTAACATATTGGTAAATATGAAATTGTATTTTCTTCTTCACTGCACTCAATACATGTTAGAGTAAGAATAAAAAAATAATATGGTAAAGATGCTGAATAAATGCAAATAACATTTAGCTAAATAAAACAACTAACTGGATACTATTTTTAAAGGAGTGAGGTTTGATGACATTAGGGTGACAGTCATTCCTGGGTTGAAGGGTCAGGGAGGTAAGCAAAGACAAGAGGGCAAAGTTGTGAGTAATTCAGAAAATGCACAAGCTTCACCTACATCCACATCCAAAGAAACAGTGAATAGTCTCCACTTTCTGGCATTCATATCTCATAATCAGTTGGCCATAAGCCATCTTCTGAAGTTCGGATAAGGCCATGAGAGGAAACAAACAAGAACAGCTCTGAGTGTTTGCTCTTTTCCTTTGTGATTATATAACATGACAACATGAGATAGTGTTTGCAATTGCACATTGTAATTTTTCTTATCTACTGTAATTGCTTTTGCTTGCATCCTCATTATGGCTTCTACCAATAGCAATAATTTTTTTCCTGCAAAATATGAAGTGTTTCTTATAACTTTTGTGATGGGGTAAGCATAGCTCTTCTTTTTTCTTCCAACAATGAGCATAAAATGAAAAAAAGAAACATTGAATGGTTGCTTATCACAGGAAATACTCTTGATTCAGTGATTGCTTCATATTTCTTCTCAGTTGGCCATAAGCCATCTTCTGAAGTTCGGATAAGGCCATGAGAGGAAACAAACAAGAACAGCTCTGAGTGTTTGCTCTTTTCCTTTGTGATTATATAACATGACAACATGAGATAGTGTTTGCAATTGCACATTGTAATTTTTCTTATCTACTGTAATTGCTTTTGCTTGCATCCTCATTATGGCTTCTACCAATAGCAATAATTTTTTTCCTGCAAAATATGAAGTGTTTCTTATAACTTTTGTGATGGGGTAAGCATAGCTCTTCTTTTTTCTTCCAACAATGAGCATAAAATGAAAAAAAGAAACATTGAATGGTTGCTTATCACAGGAAATACTCTTGATTCAGTGATTGCTTCATATTTCTTCTCACTCTCTCTCTCTGCCACACACACACACACACAAATCTAACACACATAATTGTATACGAGATAGATGGTGTCATTTGCATAGCTATTTTAATTTTTCTACATTCACTTAACATATTGCTGAAAAAGACCTGAAATACAATTCTGACTTTAATCATCTTCCTATTTGTACTCATACATGATTAAAGCATTTCTGCTACAGGGAAGATACATATTTGTATTATTAGTTATCTGTTTCTGCATAAATAGTGCTCCAAAACTTAGCAGCCAAAAACAATAAACATTTGCTATCTAAAAAGTCACGTGGTGAGGCTAACAGTGCCTCCTCCTCAGAGGCTCACATGGGGTTGTCACTGAGCTGTTAGCCTGAACTGGGAGTTCATCTGAAGGCTGGACTGTGGGTGGATAGGAGGAATCTGCTCTCAGACAAACTCCTGCATTAATTTGACAGACCTTGGGTCTTCATTAAGCAATAGTTGGAATCATCAATCCCTTGCTACGTGGCTCTTTACTTAAAGGTTCCTCAGAACATGGTAGCTGACTCCTCAGATCAAATGAATAAGACATCAAGAGAGTAAAAGAGTATAACCCAAGATGGTCCCAATCTAGAAGGTGACATTGTGCCACATCTGCTACTCTCAAAGGAAGGTGATTACACAAGAGCATGAACACTGGGAGGTGAGTATCACTGGGGAACATTGTAGAAGCTCATAATCATAATATTCAATAGTAAATTTTTATCCAGGTAGTTGAGTTCAAGTTTTAAAAATACAATTATTGGGACCAGCAAATGGCACATGGTTGTCACTGGATTCCCACATAGTTGACTGTGGATCAAGTCTCAGACCTGGCAGCTTAAAACTCACACTGAGCACGTGTGCGTGCGTGCCCAAGATCCTAAGAGGAGAATGGAGGAGAAGGGATTGTGGCATGGCCATCTCCACTGGGGAGTGATTTCTCCCTTTCTTTGTTTATCTGTCTTTCTCTGTCTCTCTGGCAAGTTCACGTGCCCTATAGCAAAAATATCTTTAAAAAAAATACAATTATTACAGTGAATATTTTGGAATGATAGAAAATAATACTATACCAGGAAAAAGCATTATTCCAAAATCTTTAGTTGTAATTGAAATTCAATAGTAAAATTCCAAGTAATTTTTTCTAGTTTTCTACATTTATATAACTTTTTTAATAACAAAAATCTGGGCCTTACAGTAGTGATGCAACTGGACCCACATGGTAAGATCCTTGGATGATTTCACAAAACCTCCCTGGTATACTGCATGTAGTCATAATTAAGGCTGGCTGAGTCTGAGGGTGGATCATGATATGAAACTTTGTTGATGGTACTTCTCTCTCTCTCAAGAAATAAATAAACATTAAATAAAATTTTATATTTATTGTGACATTATTCACAATTACTAAGACATAGAATTAACCTAAATGTCCAATAACTGATGGCTGGATTTATAAAATGTGGCACATATTCATTATATAATACTACTCAGCCATGAAGAACAGCAAAACTGACATTTGACAAAAAGTGGATTAATATTGAAAAGTATACTAAATGAAATAAGCCAGACTGTGAAAGACAAACATGGTATATCCCCACTCAATATTTACCAAATATCTGCACTCTGTGACAGAAATAGAAGTAGAGAGGTCAAGTATAGGTATCAAAGACGGGGTGGCTGGTAGAGAGTAAATGGGAAGGGTCGAGGAAAAAAGGGCATAACAGGCAAAAGAATGGAAGGTTCTTTGTTGAAAATTATGTGTGGTAGTATCCTTGATTTGATTATCACACACTGCATGCATGGTTTGAAAAACCATATTGTATGCCATAAAGATGTACAATTAAATGCAAAAAAGAAATTACAAAATAAATAAATAATCGGTAAAAGCCACAATATCTAAATAGAAGTTTAAATAGGCTTCCAACATAACAATATTGCTATAAAGATAAAATACCAAATTATTTTTAGCTTGATTGAAGTTTAATCTTTGAATTCAAAACCACACATAATTAATGTATAGAATTTAGTGTGTTTGGACATAATGGGTATGTTACCACAATCTTATGTTACCACAACCACAATCCAAGTAATTAAGATATCCATCATCTTCAAAATTTTCCTTATAATCAGCAGATGGCATAATGGTTATGTTACTCAACTCCCACTTAGTCAACCGCAGTTCAGGTCCTGGACCCAGCAGCTTAAACTCAGGCTGGGTGCATGGGCATGCATGCCCAAGATCTCAAGAGGAGAATGGAGGAGACAGGATTGTGGGGTGGCCATCCTCCCGGGAAGTGATTTCTCTCATTATGTCTCTCTGGTGAGCACACGTGCCTATAGCAAAAAACTCTCTAAAAATATTGTTTCCTTATGTTCCTTTGTTGTTGTTACTGTTGTCAGAACATCTCATATAAAACCTGCCCTTTCAACAAATTTTTAGGTCATACAGCATGTCTTGGAACTTACGCATCTTGTATAGCTATAACTTTATACTCATTGGACAATTCCCACATCCCCTTCCCTCTGTCCAATTAAATACCAAAGTCTTTTAAAACACATTTTATATAATTTCTTTTACAAGGCTTTTCTTGCCATTCTCATGACCCTTCCACCACTCATACTCTTTAGTAAAAAGTAGCCACTACCTTTTTTGGATTATTATGTCTTCTACATATATTATCGCATGTGCTAATTTGACTTTCATCTCCCATTATCTGATTGAGAACTATTTGGTGTACCTGTAGTTCCTCCTACTGGGTCATCGGGAAAGTCATGATGTATTTTTGCACAGAAAAATAAGTCATGGCTTTCCCAACAACCTAATACATTGCCTGACATACAATAGATGTACAAATTATAATCAATGATTGACATGTGTGCCTGTGGAAAGTAATAAATTCGCTTTCAATAAGGATATCCTGAACCTTTGGGAAATTATAGGAATTAAACTTTTGCTTTCTCTTCCATTGAATTATTGCCACATTCATGTACTCTTGCACCCCCAGAGATTTCCTGTATGACATTAAGTTACCCTCTTTCGTTAGGCTCTACTAACCAAGAATAAACCACAGGCCCAGAGAGCATCATAAAAAGTCCTGGACCCACCATGCGCAGAGACTCCAGGCTCTACCATATTGATGCCTCTTCTCTTCACTGGCCCTTCCACCATGAGACTCTGTTTACTTCTCTCTACTCTCCTCCTTTTGACCCTCTTACCCCCAGGTAAGTTGGTGACGGATTATAAATTTCCACAGTTAGACAGCTAACTTGGCAGGTAAGACAAGACTTGAAAACAGTCTTATGGGCTCAGAAACCTGATTATCAACAACTTCACTAGGACTATAACAGGGAAAATTAAGAAAGAGACCATTCCAAAGCCATTAACTAAACTGTCTAATGAGGTTACCTTCTGCTTTGTCTGTACTTGTATCTTGGGCTGCCTTGATGAAGGATGACAATTTATTTTAGGCAGTTAGATTTGATAGGATTGAACTGCAGTAGTATCTATTATTATAACCACCCCCTGGATCAGAAGAGGTGGACAGAATCCCATCAACAGGCGCTAATGCAAAATGAGAGCCATGAAGATATAAACATTTTACAGGAAGAGACCAATATATAAAAGAACACAGTAAGTGAAAAGTTGAATGACTACTTGGCAACGTGGAATAAGAAAAGTAGGAAACTCATTTTTTGTGTGTGTGAGATTTGTCAAAATACAAACAAACAGGGAACCAGCAGTTAGCGTAATGGCTATGTCGCTGGACTCCCACGTAGTCGACCGCGGTTCGCATCCCGGACCCGGTGGCTTAAAACTCACGCCGGGTGCGTGTGCGTGCGTGCCCAAGATCCCGAGAGGAGAATGGAGGAGAAGGGATTGCGGCGTGACCATCCCCCCTGGGGGTGATTTCTCGCTTTCTGTCTCTATGTCTCTCTCTGTCTGTCTGGCGAGCGCATGCGCCCTATAGTGAAAAAACCTCTCCAAAAAAAAAAAAAAATACAAACAAACAATAAAATACAGACTTTACATAAGAAATCATAATCACAGATGGTCAAAAATAAACTATTTGCAAACTATGCCTGAGAACTAAAGACAAGAATTAAAGGAACTTCAGACAAGTGAGACAATAATGAATAAACATAACAAGATGTGATTGATGATAATGGTATATTACAGGTTCATTGCACAGTAATGGACAACACATAACTATGAATATAAAAAAATTAATGATTAAAATGTAACACAAGCACGCATCTTGGAACTTTAGGGAAAAGAAACCATAAGTAAAAGCTAGAGGGAAATAAGTAATCAATACAAAATATGAAACAGTGAAATAAATGAGAAAAAATAAAAATACAAAGGATAAATAATCATAGTTGAGTAACCACAGTTTGAGTTCCAGATCAAGTGGCTTAAAACACGCCGACCACATGTGCATGCGTGCCCAAGATCCTGAGAGGAGAATGGAAGAGAAGGGATTGCACCATGGCAATCTGTCTCTCTGTCTCTCTCTGTTTATCCAGTTAATGCACACACCCTATAGCAAAACAACAACAACAACAACAAAAACCTCTCTCAAATAATAACGATGATGATGATGATGATGAAAACATAATTATAAATAATTCTTAAAAATAAAAAAAGACTAATAGAGTCAGCCAGTGGTGTGGTTGCTAAGGCAACTAGATCCCAAATGGTTGACTATGTGGTTCAAGTCCCAAATCTGGAAGCTTGTAAAACACACTGGGTGCATGTACATGCGTGCCCAACATTCCAACAGGAGAATGGAGGAAACAGGGTTGTGGATGGTTGTACTCCCCTAGGGTGTGAATTTCTCACTTTTCCTCTCTCTCCTTTGTTTCTCTCTTGTGGTGCACACATCCTACGGCATTTTTTCTAAATTAAAGTACGAATTTATTTTAGTGCAAAAATTTTTGAAATCTATTTGTAGTTGTTTCATAATTTGCACTTCTTTGGTCTGATTTTATTCACTTTGGTTTGGTTAGGACTGTATTTCACAGTAAAGAACGTCATTGACAATTTAATATATATTTCCAAAATAACCAGTACAGCACATTTCGAATGTTTACAACCAACATAATGTAATGTTAAATGTTGAAAGTGGTGAATATATGCCTTCAATTCTAAGGCAAATTTTTAAAAATTAAAATAGAAGACTAATACACTTTTTAATAATCTGGGGACATTAATCAAGAAAAAATGAAAATATCTCAGGAATGAATAGGTTGATATCACAGCAAATATTTGGAGTTCCATCTCCTCTTGTGTACTTAGGATTTCTCTAGTTCATTATATGATCAGCATATCATTAATTTTCTTTTTATTGTGTTATTTTCATAGGTATACAAATTGTCATTTTCCTTATATTAAGAAAAAGTTGTCTTGCTTTTCTTCCAAGATCTGCCACAAGCCCCACTTCTTGGCTTTATTTTACAGCCAAACCATTTTAAAATATCAGGTAGTCAGGAAAGTCTTGACGTATTTTTCTATGTTTTCCTATGCAAAAATGTGTCATGACTTTCCCAGCAGCCCAATAGTTGTTCATAGTCTCTGGTTCCAATTCCTCTCCTCTTATTCTTTCTGAAATATGTCTTGGTCAGCTGTTCTCCCCATTCCTTTCACTCCATTGAACTAGCACTTGTCAAAGTCACCAGTAATCTTCACATTGCTAGATCAACGGGCATTTCCTACAGTGCTTTAGTGGTCCCTCCCTTCTTCATAGTATATTTTTCTCACTTGGCTTCCAGAATAACGCATTCACTTTTCCTCAGGCTGTCTCACCAGAGGTGCCACTTCCGTGTTTTTAGAGAGGGTTTTTTTTAGTACTTCCTCCTTTTTTTCCCCCTATAACGCCTCATACTGGAGAGCCCCAGGACTCAGGTCCTGGTCCTCTTCTCTCTTTCTCTATCTTCTCCTTGGGGGTCTCAGTCAGTTCCATCCTTTTAAAATTCTCCTGGATCTCTTTTCTGAAGTCCAGACTTGTAATGGGTCATTGACATTGTAACTGATATCTCCACTTAGATATTTAATTTTAAAGTAATATATGCAAAACTGAATTCATGGTTTTATCTTCACAAACCTCTTCACTCCCCAGTTGCCTTTTACTCTCAATAAGCTTTCGCCTTGTACCTCAAAGAGTCTCTCTCAGGGCTCCTGACACTCATGCAACCTCGGCTGCCCCATACTCAGTGAAATGCCAGAGTCTACAGAATTTCTCTCAGCAACCCTGCCCTCCACCAGACCTCATTAGGTCTCTCAATGTGTGTGTCTGTGACAAAAGGGAGTGGTGGGAACCAGCAGTTAGCGTAATGGCTATGTCGCTGGACTCCCATGTAGTCCACCGTGGTTTGCGTCCCGGACCCGGTGGCTTAGAACTCACGCTGGGCGCGTGTGCATGCGTACCCAAGATCCCGAGAGGAGAATGGAGGAGAAGGGATTGTGGCGTGACCATTCCCCCTGGGGGGTGACTTCTCGCTTTCTGTCTCTATGTCTCTCTATCTGGCGAGCGCCCGTGCCCGATAGCGAAAACCTCTCCAAAAAAAAAGGGAGTGGAGATTCTATCAGCTTTCTTGCACCCCAACCTGATATCAGAGGTTGCTGCCTGATACTCAGAGTAAGACCCTAAAATTCTCCTCTCGTTTTAAATCATGGTAGTCCCTGCATACCCATCCCTCAAACGCGTCAAAAGTTCTCTTGCTCTCCACCCGACTTTCTCATGAATACTCTGAGGAAAGTCATGAAAAGAGCGTGTAAGTCTGAGGGTGTCTGAGACCACGATGCTAAACTATCACAAAAGCCCACACCAATCTTTTGAGTTCAGCCATTTTCTTCTCTCCATGAATGGCAGAGTCACCCTCCTGCTGCTCACCCACATGTGAAAGCCTCTGGGGGTTCCTTCCCTGTTAGTTAAACCTTACCACTCTAGATTTGAAATAATAAGCTTTCTTCAAGATCTGAGCTCTCTAATTAGAAAACCAAAACAACAAAACAAAAAATAAAAACTAAGATCTATAGACTATTCAGTTTGCTCTCTTATTAGGCCAAGAGTAATTTCTTTTGTAACTTTCCTAAACAGAAGCAGAAGTTCAGTTCTGTTCTTTTTAGAATCCTACATGTAAAATAGTGGTATTATCATCAGTTTAAAGATATTTACTCAGGTGCCAGCACATGGTGTAGCGGTTACATCACTGGACTCCCACATGGCCGACATTGGTTTGAGTCCTAGACCCGGTGGCTTGAAAATCACACCAGTTTCATGTCCATGCGTGCCCAAGATCCCAGGAGGAGAATGGAGGAGAAGGGATTGTGGTAGGGTCATCCCCCTTGAGTGGGTGATTTCTCACTTTCCCTCACTGTCTCTGTCTCTCTCTCTCTCTCTTTCTCCGGTGAACACACACACCCTGTGGCAAAAAAACTCTTAAAAAAAAAAGATATTTAATCAGAATTCCAACTTGACTCTG